GTGAATACCTATTTATATACACATATATTTCTTGATACTATGTATACCGTAAATACACTCGTTATCTATTGTATGAGGATATTGTGTGTCTTTTACTTCTACATCAATTCATTACGTCATAAATGACCATAACGCATATTCGCCTCTTCACATACATACATACTTACATTTCGCCAAATCGCTTTCAATGTGCCATTAAAAAACGGATCATGAATAGAAGTACCAGAAAAAGAGTTAAAAATGTGTTTTAATCTAATAAGTTTATGGAGAACAGAAGATATTGTTACATAATGCACATATTTTTTATTTCTCATTGTTTCTACATATCAACATATGTATGTTTGATAGGCATTTTTTGTTTAGTTTTTAATGAAGTGATTTTTTTATTTTAATTTTTTGTTTTGAGAATTAAAATTTAAAATTTGGACGGGTTTGTCGCAAAACTTAGTCTTATTCAGAGATAGCGGTAAATTATATTGCGTAGTGTAAGTTGCGTTTAATCTGCGCGTGTATGTGCGTCTGTGTGTGTATGTGCGTGTGCGTGCGTGAGTATGGATGATAATGATTTATACAATACAAAATTGAGATTAATTAACAATTAACAAATTAAACGATTTCTTTCTTAATTATTTGTTTAGTTTAAATGCACTTCTAGCCTTTAAATGCTGAAATATTGTGATTGTACGTTCCCAACTTGGCGCACTCTTTATGTGTTTCACAAAATATATACATACTTACATAAGTAGCTTTTATTCTTTTAATTCAAGTTATTTCTTTACTTCTTTCTTTATTTAATTACTAATTTACTTTAAACTTTTTAAACTATTTGAAACGCCTTTGCGGAGAATCACTTGTCTAGGGCAGAAAGGAAAATTTTTCAAGTATCAAAACAGTTATGTTAAATTCCGCAACGCCATTGTTTCAACATCAGTCTTTTTAGTCTATGTAGGAAAACCTAAGTTAGTTAATAAGTTATTGCGAATGGTTATGTAAGGTTAGGTTAAATTGGCTGACCCAGCGGGCAATCTACACAGGACCAAGCTACACTGCTATATTTTCTTTTTTTTTGTTTACTTATTTTGTAGTGCATTGTTCCATCTGTTCTTTGCGTAAACTGAAGTAGTCGTTTGGCTCTCTGTCTATTGCCGATAGAAGTTCTTGCAGCTTTCCTGCCTCAAATAAACGTAGCCTTTGCCAGCTGATTGTTGGGCACTCACAGATTACGAGCTCGACTGCTTCCACAAATTCATGAATTTTTTGCACTTGTTGACCTCTATCAGACCCAGATTAAAGGATTTTGACTGACATGTTACGAGTTTTCCTCTCGTTTTGTTTACAATCTGAGGTTGTCGGCTTAGTTTCGAAACGTTTGATTTAATTTAGCTGCATAAAAGTTATGGATAGAATATTGACGTTGAAGATCATCTAGATCAACGTTTACTATGGCATAAAATTCGCTAAACGATGAATTAATCAGTATCATTGCATTTGAAATGAAATAACCTTTCTGTTTTTAAACATTAAAGTAAATATTGTTCATGATTTTAGAATTTTTACGTGACGCTTGCTATATTTTTGACGGTATCCTAACCCATTTCTAGTTAGTGGAAAATCATATATAAGCTACAGAGCTCGTAACTGGCAACACTATACATAATTTGAAAGGTCTTGACATAACCTACAAAACAACTCTATGCATGATTAGTTTGGATATTGCGTTCAACAGTTATAGATGTGTAAACATGGAGTTCACTAACGCCGAAATTCGCGCTATTTTAAAGTTTTCCTTCATTAAAGGCAAATCCGCTAGAGAAACGTTCCGTGAGACTAATGGTGTTTTGGGGGATGGTACTCTATCACTTCGAACTGCGGAGAAATGATTTCGACGATTCAGAGCCGGTGAAAACGACACCATGGATAAGCCAGCCGGCGGGAGACCTGTGACGACAAATACCGATCAAATCATGGAATACATCGAGTTAGACCGGCATATGGCATCTCGTGACATCGCCCAGTAGATGGGAGTTAGTCACCAAACCATTTTGAACCATCTGCAGAAGGCTGGATACAAAAAAAAATTTGATATTTGAGTGCCGCATAATTTGACGCAAAAAACCTTCTGGACCGAATCAACGCCTGCGATATGCTGCTGAAACGGAACGAACTCGACCCATTCTTGAAGCGGATGGTAACTGGCGACGAAAAATGGATCACATACGACAATATCAAGCGAAAACGGTCGTGGTCGAAGGCCGGTGAATCGTCCCAAACAGTGGCCAAGCCGGGATTGACGGCCAGGAAGGTTTTGATGTGTGTTTGGTGGGATTGGAAGGGAATCATCCACTATGAGCTGCTCCCATATGGCCAGACGCTTAATTCTACCATCTACTGCGAACAACTGGACTGCTTGAAGCAATCGTCCAGAATTGGCCAACAGGAAGGGTGTAGTGTTCCACCAGGACAACGCCAGACCACACACTTCGTTGATGACTCGTCAGAAGCTACGGGAGCTCGGATGGGAGGTTTTATCGCATCCACCACATAGACGTAGCGCCAAGTGATTACCACCTGTTCCTGTCCATGGCGAAAAGAGGCTTGTGAAAAGTGGCTGTCCGAATTCTTCGCAAATAAGGAGGGGGGCTTCTACGAGGAAGGTATTATGAAGTTGCCGTCTAGATGGAAACAGATCATCGAACAAAACGGCGCATATTTTAACTAAATCCGATCACTGTAACACTTTTTATAAAGCATTGAATGAAGAGCAAAAAAGTGGATATTTGACAACCTATATATAAAAATGAACTGCTATTCGTTTGTTTCACTAAAACTCATATATATTCTTAGGAATTCAGTGAAATTCAAATTGGACCAACATATTTTTAAATATCGAATTTACACTGTTTTTATTTAAAGAAGGTGGATCAGTTACCGTTCTTTTGGGAATTTTTTTAAGTAAAGTGCAGTTTCCTTGAGTTTTTTTACGAAGGTATCTTTTCATAGATACATTTTTAAAGCACCCATCTTTTTGGGAAATTGATCTGAAGCCAAGTTCGACTTGCTTCAAATTTGAATTGGGAAAATTTTGCATAAAAAATATTATTTTCGGAAAGAGAATTACAGATCGCAGATCAACAAAAGTAATTGTTATTTTGAGTTTGGTGGCGATTTACGTTATTGCCCGTAAATTTGTATCGGAGTAGTAGCTTTTGGCTCTCCTTGACACGTTCTTATTCATTTTTTCAGAGAAAAAATCTACAGAAAGCGGTAGCAACATGTGGCCTGGAATTAAAGTATTTTATACATTTTTTTAATATTAAAATTTTAGGAGAAATAAATAGAAGGTAGTAGGAGGTGTTTTGTGAAAAATCTTTTAATTACCTATTTCCTCCAAGTTGATTGTTATTTCCAAAACAAAATTTAACTTATGGACAAGTGATTTTCCCTAAGCGATGCCACTTTTTATTATGTTTTCTTTACAAAATCTCTTTTTTTTACTTTTGAACAGTTTATAACTGCACAAATTAGTAACCCAAATGCAAAACAAAAAAACTTTATCTGAAACGAAAAACTTAACGACTCACCAGAATTGCTTGAAACTTCTTTTGAATACATATATACATATATAGTTATATAAAAATTAATAGAGTTGTATTATGTAAACTTGTATAGTCGTAAGAATGGCCATTACACTTAAATACATACATACATACAGCTATACTCGTCTTACGTAATTTCTTATGATTCTAACTATCAACAATTTACTATGCAACTTAAACTTTAAATAGCCTTTCAAGCAACATTTTTCTTAGAAATATACATTACAAACAAATTAATTTATTTAAAACATATATATACTACTTACATACATATACACTCGTACATGCTTCTTGTAATTAAATGATATTGTGAAAATGTTGTATTTTGATGAAGGGGCTTATATACATATTGTATGTGTTTGTATGTATACATACATATGTATGGCACAAGGGAGCATTTTTTTGTTCGTAAAAAAAAACCAATTTGATTATTTTTCCTTTTCACACACCCGCAAGACTGATATTTTTTATTTTAATTATTTTATTTATATCCTCATAAAAATGTCTTCTCTTCATCTTCGAAATACGCCGAAACTACTTCCTTTACTTAATCATCGGTGATGAGTTTTTTACTCTTTTGGAAACAGGCAATAACTGCTCAGAGGCCGGGTCGGTCCTTATGCAGGGCAGCCAACGTAATGAGGCTATTGTGGACGGTTGTTTTTGCGGAGACGAGATCATTTTCGACATCGTGTGCTGGCCTAACTCGTGCCAAGATAATCGTGCAAGAATTCAAAAATGGTTATATCGGATACTTCAACCATTTCTGAGTTGCCTCTGCTTCGATCCTACATCGTCGAGGAAAACTTTTTCAAACTTTTTGTTTAAGTTCTGGCGTGGTCGCATCGTTACTCGGTCGTCTACAAGGGGTTCCCTTCCTTCTTTAAATAAACTCTGTCACTTGTACATAAAAGGGTTTCCCCGGACAAGAGTCGCGAAAAACCAATGTCATCTCTTTCATTATGGCCGCAACTGATTTTCCTTGCTTGGTTAAGACTTTTCTAACTGCAGCATAAGCGATTTTCCATATGTAACTTTTCCCTCAAAGACTAATTGTCTCATAACAATGAATACGTGACGAACCTAACGAGCCTAATCCTTCCCCTACAACCCCTGCATTTTGCGAACAGAAAAACGCTCCCTCGTAAAAGGTCGACGGCTACTTCTCTAAACTCAACACATACACACGCCCACACATTTACGAATGTATGTATTATATGTTGTATTTACCATATATATAATAATAACATTAATTATACAAACATATATAACAACTACATATAAATAATTTACTAACAAATATAATATAATATTTCGTAATTATGCTGTAGTTGAATTTATGTAGGTGTGTGTTGCATGTGTGATTTAGTATTTTATCTAGCATACATATGTATATTCCGACAGCGGAGACTATACTCGGTCGCCATAGTACCATTGAGATACGTTCCATTCATTTGGGTGGAATGTTTCATGCCGAAGAGGAAATCCAAATGACATCGACAATGCCGAATTTTATCGGGCAACTGCAAGGATTCATATTCAATGGACAAAGGTGAGAAGGGTCAATGCCTATAATTAACGTAATATCCTACGCACTTTAAGAACCGTTTGATCAAAGTCCGATTAATATAAATTTCTGATTGCCTTTTGATTATTGTGAATATTGTGAAGGAGAAGCGAAAGACTCATCAAAATTTTTACCGATCGTGTCAGAATGACGGGTTGAGTTGATATAGCCCTGTCCGCCTGTCCATCTGTTTGTATCCAAACTAGTCCCATAGTTTTTGAGATATTTCCCCCGAACACACATTTGTATACAGTTGCACCGGTATAGTCAAACGATCATTTGTCGGAACCGGCAAGATCGGACTAATATAAAATAAATACAATCGATTATTCAGATTTTAGATTTTGGGCCATTAAGAGGATGCAATTTGATATTATTTAAACAATGATGAATTACAAATGATGGCGAAAATTGTCGAAATCGAATGACAACATCGGATGGTGGAAAGTCCAATTTTTCAGATATAAGAATTAATACTACTACTAAGTAATATGAAGGACTTCGGACTAGGATGAAGGACAGAGGACAGCTCTTCTGTTCAGTAGTTTAGTTTATAACACTATTAGTCACAAGGGGTATTGTTTAAGCGATTTCAACTCACGTTAGTAAAAGAACTCAAGTTGCTTATTTTGTGTTGTTGGTTTCCATTCTTTTGACGGTCGGGTGCAAGAGATAAGACCTTATGATATTTATAGTTGGCCGAGGTAGCCGAGTGGTTAGCATTGCACACTGCCATTTGGAAGGCCGGGTTCAAATCCTGGTATAACCAACATCGAACAGTTATTGAAAATTGATATAAAAATAGACAATTGAGATAAATTGTCTAATTGCGGTTGCGCCTCGGGAGGGAATGTCAAGCCCTCCGTCTGTATTTATGGCATGATATAAAGCTCCTCATAAGAAGTCATCAGCCGTTCGGAGGTGGCTCAATATAAACTGTAGGTCCCTCCATTTGTTGGAAAACATCAAGACGTAAAAGTACAAATTGGTACAGGAGCTCGACCGACAATCGCTTCAGCGGCTACAAAGCGACAATTTATTAAAGTATGCTACAGAAAATAACTTTTGTTTCGAAACTTAGATATATATATATATATATACAATTGGTGTGTGCTTCCTACAAATGGTGGGACCTGCAGTTTATACTAAGCCGCTTCCGTACTACTTATGCCTTTGATTCTTGTTAGAAATACGCTTGAAGGGGATGACAGTCCCTGTCAAGGGTACCAATTAACTTGCTTTATTTATTTAAATTGATTTTGTATGATTTTTCGATGTTGGTCGGATCAGGACTCGAATCCTGACCTTTCGACCGATAGAATCAGGTGTACAACTTTGCTTCCGCCGTTTTTTTTTTCAAAATTAAAAGCTTTATTGCGAAAAAGTGATTACAGATATATTATTCAAAGTATTGTCTTTCGCTAGCGACAACTTTCTCCCATTTTTCCGGCAATTTTCGGATCCCGGATCGAAAAAAGGAGTCCTCTTTTGACGCTACCCATGAAGCAATCCATTTTTCCAATTCTTCGAAGGATTGAAAATGTTGATCTGCCAGGCCGTGTGCCATCGAACGGAACAGGTGGAAGTCAGAAGTGGCGACATCTGGAGAATACGACGGGTAGGGCAAAACTTCCCATTTCAGCATTTCCAGGTACTTTTTGACCACTTTTGCGACGTGAGGCCGAGCATTGTCGTGTTGGAGGATGACTTTGTCATGTCGCTCTTGATATTGTGGCCGCTTTTCTTTTAGCGCGCGACTAAGGCGCATCAGTTGCGTTCGGCAGCGATCTCCTGTGATGGTTTCACCCGGTTTTCTGAGGTGTCTTCGACATCGAAATCACCATTTTTAAAACGTTGAAACCACTCCCGACACGTTCTTTCACTCAGAGCAGCATCACCGTAAGTTTCTGAGAGAATTCGATGCGCTTCAGCTGCATTTTTTTTTTTTGAATTGTAACAGAAAAGTAAAACTTCCCGCAAATGGCGAGAATTAGGCTCATAAACGGACATTTTCGAGCGTGATTAATACGAAAACAAAAACAACTGTCACTGAAACGGCGATGACAATTCGTTACAGCCACCTATCGGAAAACGGCGGAAGCAAAGTTGTACACCTGATACATAATGTTAACCACTCGATTATCGCGGCGTACGAAATTCCCCCATATAAGACATTAATATTGAATGTCGTTATTTTAATTTTGAATGGAGATTGAGGTACTGATATTTATAAGAACAATTCTCGAACTAAAATTTAATGAATTTCCTAGTCGGGCTTTGAAATAAAACGGTCTTAATAAGAGCCAAAACCAGATATATGTGTATATGTGTAACTTAATTACGAAATTATTTCAGATACATTGATATCGTTAAAAATTTGGGCCCAGAATTATCGGCACTGCCAAGCGCTACATTTAAGCTAACGGCGCGCTTTGTTAATTCACCACCCGGTAATCCCTATCATGCCGCTACCTTTCGCTCGAAGCACTCCTACGTCGGTTTACCGATGTTGAAAGCCTACTCTAGTGTTTCGGTGGATTTCCGTTTTAAAACCGTCGAACCCAATGGTTTGTTGCTCTACAATGGTGGGCGTCGTAATGATTTTATTGCTTTGGAGTTGGTCAATGGACATATACATTATACTTTCGATATTGGTGATGGACCGATAACTATGCGCGATAAATCACGTATACACATGAATGACAATCGTTGGCATCAAGTGAGCATACGACGACCGGGTCCGAAAACTCATACACTCACCGTGGATGATACATTTGAGATAGTCACATTGACCGGCAATAGCATGCATTTGGAGCTCTCGGGCATACTATATATTGGTGGTGTTTTTAAGGATATGTATTCCAAGTTGCCTGCATCCATATCATCGCGTTCCGGCTTCGAGGGTTGTCTCGCTTCGCTGGATTTGGGCGATACATCACCCACGTTGACTAGTGACGCCGTGGTGCCCAGCTCACTGGTGGTGACAGGCTGTGAAGGTCCCACGAAGTGTAGTCAAAATGCGTGTGCTAATCGTGGTATTTGCGTACAACAATGGAATGCTTATGTGTGCGAGTGTGACATGACCTCGTACACGGGACCGACGTGTTATGATGGTGAATAAAAGAAAAATATATTAGACAAAACTGTTGGCTTCTGAATGTCATCTTGCTAATCAGCTTTTCACACAAATATTGAACTACTTTTAGGTATCTGTTTTATTAATTTCTGATTAATTTCTGGTCTAGTTAGCAATAACAATTTTAGAAGCCAACAAATCTCATAACCTTTTCTGCTAGAACTCACAAAATTTAAATCCTTACTTTTGTGTAATGAGGTATTGATTTTTGTGATGATCATCAGATTATGGATATGTTTCGAAGAATTTTTAATTGTTTTCTTTTCTTTTACCAGAATCCATTGCCTACGAGTTTGGCAACAATAAGGGCATAATCCAATATGCCTACCCCGAAAATATGCAAGCAGATACAGAAGAAGATAATATAGCGCTGGGCTTCATAACAACCAAATCAGATGCAGTTATATTGCGCGTCGAAAGTGCAACCACTCAGGATTATATGGAACTAGAGATTGTTGAAGGCAATATATTTATGGTTTATAATATTGGCACGCGTGATTTGCCATTGGGTGAAATCGGTACTAAAGTGAATGACAACACTTACCATGTGGTGCGTTTCAGTCGTAAAGGTGGCAACGCCACACTACAGCTCGATGATTACAATGTACAAACGTTGACGCCACAAGGTGAAATGACGCTCATTTGTTGATAATAAGATCCAATTTAAAATTGTTAATAATTTTTTTTGATTCACTTTCCTTCTTAGGTCATCAATCGACCGTCTTCAATACAATGTCCAGCATTCAGGTGGGCGGTAAATTCAGTCGTGGCGGTAGAACACGCATTGAACGTCCATTTGCCGGTGTCATTGCCGGTTTGTCGGTGAATAAGCTACGCATGCTGGACTTGGCTGTTGAACGTGACCCACACATAACCATACGAGGAGATGTTCAATTGGTAACTGGAGTATTAGATAGAAATGATCTGCAAAGAATGCAGCAGGTTAGGGAATTTATTTTAAACAATCTAACTTTGCTAAAAAAAAAAAACTCTTCAAATCTCAAGTATTCTCATCGTAAATAACTCTTGCAACTAAAAAAATATCAATCAATCAGCTAATCAATCTTTTCTCTTTGGTTATATGAACAAATAATTTATGAGCTATTAATCGCATACTAAAATATTAACAATAAACACAATTACTCTTACCGTTATAAGCAAGTACCACGTCAGACAGCTGGCAATAATACAAGCTTAGTCCGTATACTCTCGGGTTGAGTTTTAGTTTTAATTAAATATATGTATGTATATTGACCATCATTACCATTTATCGGGCAGCTTAATAATTCCACAAGTGCAGCTCCTCTGTGCCTTATCGTCGAGGAACTTCGTTAACGGCTCTTGGGTCGATCATTTTTTTTTACCAACTCAAGAGTTTTGCAGAGATCGAAACAAATAATAGTCAAATAGTGCAATAAATAATAGACCGGGCTATATTGTGGGTGCATCAAAATTTTCTAGCCAATTCCCATAGTCACATGGTAGGCATTCCAGTCAATATGTGTGTGAGTGAAAATTTTCTTAAACTTGTGTTCCATAAAATTCTCTTGGAATATTCTCAGTTGAATATTTTTTTACTGATCAAATATCTTTTCATCTTTCGCGATTGTACCCGAGTTAACAACAGCGCGAGATTAATTTTTTCTTTTCGCTGTTCGGCGTCTATAGCAAATACTAGGTCTTTCCAAAGTATTGGCGGCCTTCCCTTGCTCTGCTTTCGCCACTAGGTACTGCATCAAAAACTTTTAAAGCTGAAGTATTCTTATATATGCATACCACTCTGTCAATGTTTTCTCGCATAACTCGTGCTACCTCAACCGATGACGGCATACGCAAAACCTTTCTCATAAAGACACCCAATGCCGACTTATCAGATAACATCGTCCTTGCCTCCATGCCGTATAGCAGAATGGAAATGACGAGAAGCTTGTGGATTATATCATTTGTTTGTCTAGAGTGTACTTTACTTTTCAATTGCCTTCCCAGTCCAAAGTAGCACCTGTTAGCAAGCGTAAATTTGCATTGAATTTCAACCCTGACATCTTGTTGGTGTTGATGCTGGTTCTCAGATAGACGAAATTATCTACGAATTCAAAGTTAAATCCTGAATGAGCTTTTGGTGTTGCTTAACTACTACTACTTACTAAATTCAGTAAAAGTCTTCTGCCGTAGGTTGCTTTATAAACGACGTATGGTGAATATCTGGTAAATGGTGGACTTAGCCACACTAATAAACTCCAATCAATTTGTTGTCCACCGAGAATTTCACACAATACGATCGATAGAACCTTATATGCGATATTGAGAAGTTTGACCCACGTTAATTGAGTTGGTTCCAATTGTCGTTCATCCGGTCATATTTCGCAAAGAAGCTGATGCATATACCTTATTAGTTCTACGCCACCGCCATACATCTTTATAGTTCTTCAATCAGGTAATTGCCCATCGTAATTGATGGTGGAATTTGCAGGCTGGAGAAGTGTTTGCTCTATAAACTCGGTATATGTACACTGGGCATAAGTCGCTAGACCATCTCTGCGGATCCTAGCAGAATTTGTTCCGGTCTGATCAAATTAATGTTTCTTTTATGAAAACATTTTCGAATGGTTAGTTGTTAATTAAGCAGTAATTAAAATGACTTAATTCGTCTACCTTTTACTGCTTAATTATGATACAATTAAAGCTTAGTCTTGCTTGTCTGAACAAATTAAAATATCGAAAAATAAGATCCAGGTCACAATACAATAAATACTAGTACACAGTAAAACGGCTCATAAACACTGCTAAAAATACACTAAATATCAAATATTAGGTCTATAACTTAATTCGTGCGTTTTCTCATCTGTCTGGCTATTTGAAAATTCCATCTCAAAAAAAAGCTGTGATGGCTGGGCGGCCAAGAATGAATCAAGCCGCAGGTTTTGATACCCTGAACTCAGGTAAACTGTATTCCAGTGAGGGCACTCGACATCGACTTGAACAAAGCGTAGCTAGTAGGGCCAAGATCTGGGCTTTCCAAATACATAGTTTCTAGGCAGTATTGGAACATGATGCCGAGCGTTGTCATGACATCAAGTTATTGTTTCGTGTCTGGTCGCATATTTCAGTCGTTTTTCGGCAATCGCTCGCTTCATTGTGATGTGTTGTTATTGTGCCGGTGGCGTTCTCCATTAATGTTTTCAACTGGGGTTTAGTAGCTCATGAAACAGCGGATGCCACTAAATACAGGGCAGAGAACGCCCCACAAAAACGATTTTTCGGGCATAAAGCTCGACATATTTGAGTGAAAAAATTTATTGTTGTTTAGACTTCAAATTATTGGCTTGAGTTGGATAAGACGCGTAAGACAGTAGCTTTCCAATACATGTTTAGAATATTGCAACGATGGAGAAATAATCAAGTTACGCAATCTGCTGGCAAACCGCATGAATGAAGTTATACACCCAATACCTGTGCACCTTCAGGTCAATGTGTTTTTTTTTATAAGTCTAAAAAATTTTACACTTTTACAAAATATCACAAATCGTTAATGGCTCATAAATTATTATCATATACTATGTATATTGTACTTACATATATTTGTAAAACTTTTCATACAAACTAATAACATTGTGGATTGTTTCGATGTAAAAATTTTATAATATTGCATTCGCATTCTTTACCGTTAATACCTTTTAGTTAAACAACTACTAACTACTCTCGTGTGTATATTCGCAAAAATGAATGTTTAAGAAAAAATTAAGAGAAAAATATTATGAGAGTAGTTGGTATTTAAAAGCGCTAATTTAATATTTCCGCCATTTTTTATGTCACTATTGCACCCACAACAACAACGTTAACACTATCCAAAACTTATTTATTTATTTTATTTATATTTTTTTTTTTATTATTTTTTTAACTCATTTACGTGTATATTGGACCTTATTTTTATGAACGAAAGATTCCTGCCAACCATTTTCAAAACTACTCTGAATTTTAGTCTTCTTTAAGGTGACCTTAAAATATAAATTGCGCGAGTATATAGTATATGTTTTGTTTAACTAACATATGGTTGCTTGGTTGAAAGGGGAGATTTAGGCCTGTGCTCTCGCGCTTATACCAATTATGCTTTTGCCAACACTTTACTCGATTTAATAAATTGTTTCAGTTTCTTCTGCGCACAGATCTTCATAACGCTGGAGCTCGGGCCATCATTGTAGGCTTCACGCCTCAATCGGCTGAAGGCCGGGCAATCAGGGACAGGTGGAAGTTCATTAAGTATATCTATAAGAATGCCAAATTCTCTTACTTAGGCTAGCAAGAGTTTGGTCTATCTGTGATAAGTACTGCCCCACAACTTCGCAATTTGGTAAAACGCTCTACGTTGGAACTGGTACGTGACCTTAAGTGTTCCTTATTTCGAGCATTAAAAAGTCTGAGGTAGTCGATGGTAATAGCTTCGCCAGCGAGATGGCTAGCTCATTCTCCTTTTCATTACATTCGTGTGACTTGGTATCCAACTGATATCACTATGTTAACCCGTGTTAGTCTGTTTATTGCCTCTTTGACAGTTCGACTTCGTGTTGACACATTAAATTGCCTTAAATGCCGCTTGGCTGTCTACAAGAGATCTGATAGATTCCCCTGTTAAAGCGGTTGTCCATTTGACGCCTACAGTAAGACAGAGTTGTAGACATTTAGTTTGGCTAATCGGGCGGTGATAGAGGAACCCTGCTCATCTGGCTACCCCATCATTATTGATGAGAATATCTTCAGTATTTCCAATAGCCTTGCCATCCGCCCATTCATACGCTGGGCAAATCTGACAGAAGACTTCCATTTCTCGGTCGCATAGTAAATTTAGTACGAGTTCTCCAACATATAACAACCCTGGTGTTTTGTGATTTACAAAAAGTGTGTTTGGTGAATTCCATCAATATCTTCCAGTTCAGGCATGGTTGATGCATTCCCCATTGACTGTAACATTATGGACTGCTTAATTTTTGAAGAAGCATGGGGCAATGATTCCTTCTGTCCATAGAGCACCACAAAATCAATCATTTTTTGAAGATGTAACGGTGTCTCCGATGAATTTTCTGATTGCGGTCGCCCATCGGCAGGGAATCTCGAGCCTTCCCAGTGTATTTCTGACGTGAAATAAAATACACCTCATAAAAACCATCAGCCACTCGGAGGTGGCTTAGTACAAACTGTATGCCCTTCCATTTGTTGGAAAAACATCAAGACGCAAAACCACAAATTAGAGGAGGAGCTCGGCCAAAAATCGCTTCAGCGGTTGCAAAGCGCTAATTATACATATAACGGTGTCGCCTTAGTGACTTGTGAATTATCATCCCACTATCGCCTGAACAAAATTCAATTCAATTCTTGCACAGATTGGATTCCTTCAGAAAATTCATCCATAAAACGGATGGGCAAAGTTCCAATAGTTGCCTGCGCTGGTGGATGGACTCATTCAGGCCTTCTTCAATAATCTGCTCCACAGCTGCTGTTAGCGTTTTCGACATCTCTGATGATGCGTATATCCACTAGAGTAAACGGTGCGCGACATGGGCTATTAAGTCGACGGAATATTCGACTATTAGCGCGTTTTGTGGCCCCTGAGCTGTACTATAATTTTGATAATAAATTTGCACGATTTACCAATGTTGTTCCCCAGTAAGACTGTTCATTATGAAATGGCAAACCAACAGCTATGCAAAAGAGTAACTCCGTATAAAGTATTGCTTTATTGAAAATCACACTACTAAAGTAAATACCCTTTATATGTTTGGGTAACTTAATACATTATTTTTTAATATTATTTTCGCTTTTCTCTCAAAAACCATTACTGATGCAAATTTTCAATTACATATATAGCAATATATTTAAATATATTTCCTTTGCGCACTTTTTATGTAGAACCTGAAATTTCTTCACTCATTTCTTTTTGCCACACATTAAATTATGCACTAATTATGCCCAGCTCATTCGTAAGTTTTATACACTTTGAAATTTAATGTAAACATTATTTATACAGATAACATTGTGCATGTCTTTTAATCATACCTAAACATATTACATACATACATACATACTCGTCCATGCATACTTACTTACATATGTACATATGTATCTAATCGCCTATCAATTGCATTGCTTGTCTGTAAACCATACTCTCATACTCTTACTCGTCCATACATACTTGCATTCAAAGTCATTGAAATGAGCATTTTTTGATTTACTTTCTACGAATAAATTTGTTTTTTTCTTTTATTACATTACACTTCACATAATACCCGCCATCCGCAACCCGCAACTCAGACTCCAGCAAGCGGTTATCCTGGTGCCATCGATGATTTAATCTTCTCAGGCGCAGGCTCCGGCTGCCGTGGTGATGATGAAGATGAGTGCACACCACCGTTCGAATCGGGCAGCGGTGATGATCTCATTACACCAGTTTATGTGCCACCAACAAAACAAACAACAACAGCACAAAATGCTAATACAGACAAACAACAGACAAATGGTACGGAACGCGCATGTGATGATGAGGATTGTCTACATGGATCTGGTGATTATGGCGAAACTACGGAACAATTTACTTCGACCAGCACAGCTAGAGGATCAGGTAAGTCGTTTTGGTGTTGTTTTTGAGTAGCAAAGTATTTGAGTTAAAAGTTAAATTGCCATATATTTGTTTACTCGTATTTAGTTCGTAGTCAGTATAGTCATCTCATTGGCATATCACTCACAATATTGTGTTTTTTTTTTGTACGAGGGCTGTAATATAGGTCAAACAAGCTATGAACGTTGAGGAAAATCAATATGAGTTTGAGTGTGTTGAAAATTAAAGTATATTTTTTGCATTAAAACGATTTTCAATTTTTTTTGAGGTACAAATATATATACGTTCATATAAACACAAGTATACATACTTGAATATTTCTAAATATTCAATATACAATAGTATGTATATGTGCATAATTAGCAAAGAAATCATGAGCTAATGAAAAATTCCTTAGTGCACTGACTAATTTAAATAAATAGGGTGTTTTTTCACCCATGTGGGTTTCAAGAAGAAAAACAATACAAATGTGATTTAATGTTAGGATGAGGGCTTGATGATATCGGGCAAGTGACCGTCGCGGCTGGCTCGAAAGTTCGAATAAACGCCAGATGACAGGTCCGATATCTACCAATTTTAGAAGCAATTTGAGCCGTATTTCGGCACGATCTTGGAGGCTACGTTAAAGACTCGTGACACAGGATAATGCGCTCCCCCCCCCCAAATTTTCTTTCAATAAATTGATTATTTCGTTGGTTGTATGGTATGTAGCGCCGTCATGTTGGATCCAAAGTTCGTCTACATAAACATCCAAAAAAGTCGTGAATATTGAGATTTATGGCCAATATATCGAACGTGATCGGCTTCGATTCTTTTACGAATGGAATTAAGCCCACAAACCAGGATCTTTTGAAAAAGCGTCTATAAAGTGGTTGGCCACAGCTCCAATTGTTGCGCGAGATGACCTATGGACTCACTCGGACCTTTTTCGATACTCTGTTCTACAGCAATAATAGTATCTTAAATGCGTACTGTGTCCACTAGAGTAAACGGTATGCGAAACCCACTAATGGCTGCTCCAATTGCCGCCTCTGCTCGGCGATTATATCGATCGAATATAGGACGTGGCGCACTTTGTGTCACACGCACCGAACCATTAATTTGCACGCTCTTGCGGAGTAAATCTGTCAAAAAGCGGTACTTCGAAAAAAGTATTGCAACATTGAAAGCCACACTCCTAAAACAACACCTTCTATATAAGGTTTTGAATCTAATGTAACATCTCAAAATTATAATTGCACCAAACCTATCTGAAGAATATACATTGAATGTAAAATAGAACGACAAAACTTTTACAGTTAATTAAAATAACGGTTTTGCCAGGTTAATAACATAATAACTAAAAGTAAATTATTTTTAATTCGTTTAGTTAAATTTCTATAATGAATAATTATCCACGGGGAAGAACGCTAAAACTGCGGAGTTATTTTCTTTTGGTCAAATTGATTATGAAATTGCTCGAAGTGATACAGTCGTGGAAAGTTGTTTGAAAAACCAGAGTATTTTTGTGGCTGCTGATGCAATTTGCCCAAAGATTATAGTTGTTTTCCAAGCGCAATTTTAGCTGAGTCTCATTATTGTAATGGTGAGCTCAAGAAAAGTTTTCGCTAATCACATTTCACTCCAAGAAATGCTTAGATAATCTACAAACAAATTTATTTCCGTTTATGAAATGTAGAGAGGCGAAAGCCTTGTTTGTTTGATTTAGGTAGAACGTGAAAGCGGTCGCGTCAGTAGAATGTTAGCATTATATAATGGACCGCGGTGACTTCTGACGTTAATAACTTGAAAAACATACCGAGCTTACAGAGGCAATAGCCAACGATCCAAGAAAAAAGAGCTTCAATAAGCCATAACCTGTTTTTGGGAGCCTGAGGTCACAATAGTCTTCTATATTCACATGGGCCTGCTTAAAGCTCAAATCCATGACCCTTCAAGTACCAACCAACCACAGTCATTACTGAAACGGCCGAAGTACGGTCAGACTAAATTTGGTTTCCATAAATGTCTCTAATAAAGCAAAGAGATAATGACTCATTGAGTTCATCCAGTTAGGCTTGGGACAAATATTTGGCTGTTTGTAAGTTTAGGTGTGATATTTTCGGTTATACTATAGCTCTTCCTTAAAAAGGTGTTGTTTTTTTTTGTTATTAACTAGGTATTGCCTTATTTTTTACACATAATAATAGCAATTTTGGATGCATTGTAACCGCCGAAGCGATTTTCGGCCTAGCTCCTCCTCTAATTTGTGGTTTTGCGTCTTGATGTTTTTTTAACAAATATCATAAATGGATTTTTATGAGAAATACACTCTGACACTCTACACATTCCCTGCCGAGGGGCGACCGCAATTAGAAATATTAATTTTCATTAATTTTGGATGTTGGTCGAACCAGGACTCGAACGCAGCTATTACGGCTATTCATGGAAATTTATTTTAGTTGGGAGCAAATCGTACTCTTTGAAGCCTTTCAAAAGTTTCCATATGAATTTTTAGTGGCTCCCAAGGAAAAATTCTGTTATACTACTCCCCCTTTGAAAGGATGATGATTTTTTCTTCATCTTGTGTATACCGTTTAAATGATTTGGAAATATTACAAAGAGTAATATATAAAAATTGATTCGCGATCCCTTATTTGCAGTGGAAAGTATTTTACAAAGTGAATTCAAAGGACAAAGTTGAGCTGCTCCATAAATTAAAGTAACGTGGGGATCCCTGCAGCTTTCTCCTCAAGTTTTCTTCTCGTGTTTCTTTGCTCCAGTTGTGTCTGAAGAAAAGGTAGGAAGCCATTTTCGGCCTAGCTCCTACTTCAATTTGTGGTTTTGCGTCTTGATGTTTTTTCAACAAATGGAGAGATCTACAGTTAACACTAAGCTGCCTCCGAACAGCTGATGGTTTTTTTATGAGGAGCTTTTGATTTTCAGATCAGAAATACACTCGGAGGGGTTGACGTTTCCTGCTTAGGGGCGACAGCAATTAGAAAATTTTATTTATTATTATACTTTTTTTATTTCAATAAATTTTACATAACTTTTGGATGTGGGACGCACGGGGACCACTCGGCTACCGCGGCCGCGGTAAAAATTTAAATATTTGAAAAAAAGCAAGTTATCCTAATCCGATTTCTTACTACAAAAAAAAAAAAATATTATTTTTGCAGAAATCCTTGCCAGTTTATAAATTAATAGAATTTGTCTTCGTCTTCATATACCTACATATGTATGTACGCACAAAAATGTTGAAACACCTTAACTAGTATTTCGCACTCACGTAGGTTATGTGCATGTCTTTATAATCACAAGTTTCCTCGATCATTGCTAAATAAAAATAGTTTAATTAAGTAATTTATGAGAAAATTTAAGTGGTTTCAATTTAGTAATAGACGCCCGCATACATACACATAAGTAGATAGCATATTTTTGCATACGATTATGCAACTGTTCATGTATGTATTTACATATGTACATAAACATACATTCAACATGGCTTTGTCCTGTCACACTTCATGCAATGGTAGATTTGTGAAGTTAGCAAACTTGTTGCAAACCATTATTTCCATAACGTCAAACATAAGCGCAATTCAACTCCGCATTCAAACTCGTTCAAACAAACAAAGAAACAACAATTAATTTACCAAATATACATATATGTATTTGTACTAGTATATGTTATAATACAATACAATCAACATATTAGTCAACCAATCAATCAGCAAATCAATCAATCAGCCAATCAGCCAATCAGCCATAATCCACCATTCCACCAATACCACAACCACCACCACCACAACCACTGCCGTTCGCCCATGGAAGCTCGTTACTCGTTTCTTGTTAATTCGCTGTTCAAACAACTTGAAATCTTGATTTCATGATTCTGAGTTGGAATTATCTCTTTCAGAAAATGAACTCTTCATATTTCTGACATTGATCGTGCAATGGATTTGCCAATTGCAGCAATCGTAGTGCAAACGAATGCAATGAGAGAAATGTGTGGCGAACATGGCGAACAGAAACACAACGAACGGCAACAAATAATAAAGCAATTAATTCAAAACAACTAAAAATTTCGAACTCAGTTGAATATCCAAAGAAGCAATAATTAATTAATTAATTAAATAATTAAGAATAAGCAAAAAAAAGAAAAAAATAAAGATCATCACACGACCACAATGACACCACCAACGCCAACACCACCACCACCACCACCACCACGATCACGCTCAACAACAACACTTGCAATGAACAACAAGTACAACAATAAACGACAACATCCACCAACCCAACACCAACATCATCAAATGCTGGTCTCACTGTGAGAAAATTAACGCTTAAAAGCCAAATAAATATCGAGAGCTGGGATGCAACGGTAACGGTGGCAAGGGCAAATTTGGTGGAACGCTGAAAAAAGAAAAAAAATATGTACATATGTAATATTAGCACATGTATTTACATAAAACATGGCCACCGAATCATCTTCAAGCACCGGAAGTAAACGCGTTGGCTATACATACAAACACGGCAAAAAATAACTGATGAGAATATACTTAATATTGAAAAGAGAAAAAACACATTACTAGTGCACTTTAATTATATGTTTGTTTAGGTGTATATAATATATATAATAACACATACATATGTACATACATGCATAGAAAAATTGCGATAATAATTCGATTGTAGGGTATTAGTTTGCCTTAATTGCTGAACGCGCGGCCTTTGATTGTAAGAAGCGACGATACATGTATGTAAATGTATGTATGTAGGTTAGGTTAAGTGTGCATGCAACATCGTTTGTATGCGGTTTGTTTGTAAATGAGTATGTACATATTATACACATAATTGTATAAAATAACAACTTTTAGCTCTGCACTTGTTAATCCTCAAGACACATATCCCTAACAGAAACAGCAACAACAACAGCATTAATAATAATCTACTATATATTGTATTTATCTCTTCTATTATGTATTTATGTTATAACTGTTTATGATTGCTTCCTAAAAATTGTCTGACGTCAATTCTTTGAAACACACGCATATACACATACATATCTGTTGTACATATGTTTATATGAGCAATTATTGCGGCTCATATTATTCAGTGTTAAGTGTAAAAAATATCAAATATAAGCCTACATATCTGTTGACCTGCTTCTTTTTGTCCATACGTATTACAATATGATGTGAAAAAATAACAAATAAAGTTACGAGAAAACTAGAATTAAAACTCAATTCGTTGGTATTTTAAGAGGATATTAATTGAAATTAGTTAACTGCTTGTATTGCATATTGAAGTATGTGTGTAAGTGTATGGATTCCATATACAGTAATCCAATCAGTATGGAGGGTAAGATTTTCGCTGACTTACAGGCCTATTCTCACTGTTACCGGTGAAGTAAATTTTTGTCATTTTTTTAGCACCCGAAATTGAATTTGGTATTCTGGCGAATTGGTTACAGTGTTTGAAAAAACTTTGGCAGCACTGCTTTTTCGTCCTTGCCCAATTACATTTGCCAGTTGGTAAAGTCAAATGCCATCGAAATGGAAGACGGTGCTCAACAAAATAAATAAGTTTTATTTATTTGTTTATTTAATCATAAATATTTGAACCTACCATAATTATGGAAAATATGCTCAAACAACAAAAAAAAAAAAAGTTGAATGAAAACGCCATTCCCAAATTGAAAGGGACATTGTTTTCACGCAAACTTCTTAGCATAGCCTTTTTGCACTTTTTGCCTCATCTTCAATAAAGTCCAGGCCTAAAATAAGCCTAACCCATTGGTTTTTATTTTTTCTCAAACGTAAGATTTTTTGCTACCTCCTATCGCTGGTAACAAAATTTACAGGGTGACAGTGAACTCAGAATATAAAATAATAACAAAATTTACTGAATGATAAATTTTATTACCTCGACAGAATAGGCATGTTAAAAAAAATTTTAATAGGTATTTTGCTGTAAAGATATAATAATATAATATATTAGCGTATCAAGTGTAGTGGGTAAAGGTAGCACGGATCTTTAACAAAATTACAAGGATCTCTTTTTGTTGCTCCATTATTTTTTTTGTCTATAACAAAAAATATACAAGCAGTATTCCGATAATTTCCAAAGCGATACCGAACAAATTACTTAAATACCGATAAAAAATAATATGTTAAGATACAATAAATAGTCCTGTTCGGTGGGGTGTAGTTGTCACTATATTTTCTTGAACCGCTTTCAGTGAGGCGCAAAAAAAAACAATATACTCTGTACCAAGAGCACTTAATTTTTTAGATTTCGTAACTGTCTAATTCTTACTGACGTTTCTCACCTAAAAGACCTAATGTCATTGTCATTTCTAGGTTCACATCTCATTTTGTTTTAATTAAATAATTTTACGTCAAAATTTTCTTTTGAGCTAGTACAAGTACAAACTCAAGGTTGATTAGAAGGTTGGTTGCCTTCTGCCATTTGCATTGCTTCTCTTCATTCTTACTCAAATCTGATGGACGCAGCTGAGAGCATACCACATTGCTGGCTTATTCTACGAATCTTCACCTTCAGCATAGTTTTCTTCAGCAATTACCCTGCACAACACCTTCTGGTTTTATCTGTCCGTTAAAGTGTAGCAAGTTTTCCACGGCAGCAGTTCCTTCAGACTCCACCATGTCTTTTATTACCCTTTTTACAAACTTGGTTCCCAGATGCACTGGCACGTTTGAACGATCATTTATGGGAAACGGCTAGATCGGATGTAGCACCAAATTTTCAAGAGCGTGAAACTCGGTATTCTGCACTCTTTTGAAAAATTGCATATTAGTGCTGGAAATTCTCGAAATCGGATAGCTATAATATATACATACATATGTACTTAGCTGTCAAACACCAAAGTTTTCAGATATAAAGTTATTGGCCAAGGCTTAGTCCAAAAAAAAATCTTAGAACATGAAATTTGGCAGTTTACGTTCGCATCTACAAATAAAAATATTCACTGAAAGTCAACGAAATCTGAGGACAATATCCTATAGCTTCCATAAAACCGAATTGATATTTATGGAAAGCATTTCCCTATTTCATCCTTCAATGTTGCCTTTCCCTCCAGAGAAGAATGATATAAAGGACAAGTAGACAAAGGTACAGGGATTGCCATCTATATGCATGGATCCAATGTAGAAAATCGTTTAGTAGGTCCTTTCCACAAAAATCGGTACCAGAATCGGTCCACAGAATCGCCGATCGCTTGCCAGATCATTGCAGTATTTTAAAAGCAATTAAAGGTTGGTTTGGACAAAAAATATTGATGTATACACAGATAGCCAAGCGGTTTTGAAATCACTAAAGCCGTTCAGAATCACATCAAAGAAAGTGAAAGTGTGTTTTGATCTGCTGGCAGAGCTAGCAACGTTCTGCACTACTATAAATCTACAATACAATGGGTTCAAGCACACAGTAATATCAGGGAAATATATATAAATGGCTACTTGTACATTTTTAATGATAAACATATCAAGAAAATCTCTGACTTGCTTAATCAGTCCAGGTATAAATATGGGCCGCGAATGATCAATGCAATGACGTAAGAACTGTAATAGGAGTGCTAACTGCTTGGTCACTGTCTTATTGGTAGAAATGCCTGTAGACTAGGGGACCATACAACGCCTACTGTAGAAGTTGTTAGGACGTCGAGGAGGAAGAGAAGATACAACATCTTATATGCGGGAGTAAAATATTGTGCAGGAAAAAGTTTGCAACTATCGGCATCGGATTTCATGAAGATATCTCCGAAGCTGCTCATATTAAACTATTTAACTTAATTAGATTTGTTAAGACGGTTTAGAGAGGACATGCTAGTGGGAGGGAACTTCATTCCCATTGGTATCCCAATGAGCCTCCTAAATGCCTAAATGCGGCACAAGACAAACACTCTACCTACCTACCTAACTTTGCCTACTACTCTAATTTACGCTTATGCAGAATAAGTTTAAACTCATAAAAATAACTTGTAACCCACAGATCCAAATCGTAAAATATTTCAACGATTTATCGTTTATCCGCTCACACTAAATTTCAAGCAAACGGTCTGTGGTCGGTTTCTGCATAGTTAACCACGTACAAAAAAATCGATTCCAGTCTGATTTCGGCCAAGAAAATATTTTATACATATGTATTAATCCAAGTAGAAATCGCCCCATGGACGGTGCAACTGCCTAGTAAGAGTTAGTTAACTTTTAATATTCTTTTATTTCTGAAGGAGAACCGATATTTCCGTTACTTGTTATTAATGTTTATGGCGGCCTCGGTAGGCGAGTGGTTAGCAGTACGTACTGTTGTTCGGACGGACCGTGTTCAAGTCCTCCTAATCTTTTATAGCGCTAGATTGAGGTATGATTCGAGCTAAAACAGTCGTTGTATATGGCGTCAAAGCTTTTTGCGAGGTTTATTGTAGATAAGGTCGGACAGAAACAGAGGTGGTGTTCCAGAGTCTCACTCATGCCTTCCTCTCTGCATTTATGTCACTGGTCCTAATGCCAATTCTTCTGATAATAGGTTTGTCTGATACAGTAGACCGGTAGCCGACCTTCAATCCTTTCGAGATCGCATGAAGAAAAAGCGGTTGTGTTTTCATTCGTTGCCATTGCACATGATTTTCGCAGCAGTAGAGCTCAAAATCGAAAGTTCCATCAGTTTTCAGCAGCTCATAATCGGCAATTCCCTTACCATACCACCATATACTCAGCAGCACCTAGTTTTCTGTCAATTTAACCTTTGAAATCGCTTGTGGAGGTCACAGAAGTTTAACCACAACTAATATGTAGGCAGGGGCTGGATTGAGAGGATGACCGTTTTTCAAGAGAGATAAGTGGTTATTTGAAAAAATAAGTGTCAATGAATCAAATAATTAGGAGCATATATATTTTTCACACAAGTTGTTAGGTAGGGAAAACAGAATTACTTCAACTTTTATTTATATATTTTAAACCCTGAATATTTAACTCTTTTCAGACACTCGCCATGAGCTGATCTCTTCAACGACAGACGGTGCCAATAGACGCATGGAAACTTCCAGCACGACGACGGAACAGCAACGTTCCAGCACTACCGTTTCCAGTAGTGCAATGACACGAACCGAGAGTCAAACATATGCACCACGCGAAACTACTGTACCCTACAGCGCCACTACGAGCATTGTCACCCAACAGCGTCAATCGTCAACGCCCACATCTGTCTACACTACATCTACGCAGCGTACGTCTACATCAACAGTGACAACAACAACTAGCCAAGCAACAGCGCCACCTGAAATCCACTCTACTGCAACAGAACACCAGACAACACCGTACGATGTCATCTTCAGCGGCGGTGAGGGTGGTGAACGACATCATGGCGATGACGATGAAAAATCAAATATGATATTCAATGGTGAGCATACATCCCTACCGGAAGAGCGCCCACCACCGCATATACCCTCGCCACATGAAACACCGCCTTACTATCAATTGCCACCGCAACAGCCGCCGACTTACGGCAACAACTACCGTTCCAAGGGCAAAGGTGGACGTGTGAACTCTCTCGAAGAGGAACGCACAGCTATGATAATCGGTATTGTTGCTGGCATACTTATCGCCGTTATATTGGTCATACTGCTAGTGTTGTGGCTGAAATCAACCGGGGATCGCAACTACAAAACGGAGGGCGAGAAAGCTGCCGCCTATGGGCATAATCCAAATGCGGCATTGTTGGGTAATAACAGCACGAATGGTTCCTATCATCAACAGCGACATCACGGGACACATCATCAGAATTTAAGTAATGGACATAATACCGGTGGCGGTGGCGGAGGTGTTGGTGGAGGTGGTACTGGTGGCGGTGGCGGTGGTAGCGGTAGTGGCAGCATGCTCGGCGCGGCTGGTGTTAGTAGTGGCGGTGCTGTTGGTTATGGTTGCATAAGTTCCGGTATGGCCAGCACCGGGCCCGATGGACGTCCACAAATGGCCGGTCTGGTGCAACCAAAGCCGAAAAAACGCGACTCGAAGGATGTTAAAGAGTGGTACGTGTAAATTGTTTTGTTGATTGCTTGCTTCGAGGGGAGAGAATAGGTGAAGACAACATGAAAAGAAAGAGAAAGTGAGTTCTGTTGAGCTCTCGAAGTAACAGCAGAGTGTACGATTGAAAAGTGGTTATGTATTTTATTATTATATATTATATTATATTTAATTCAAACTAGCAATAATAAATTTATGAAATGCATATGTATTTAGTCAAAAGCACACAACAACACCTATACGCAAACATGCAAACAAACAAAGATACACATACATACACGTACACAAAACTAGGCCGAATAATACAAAATTACGGAAAATCATTAGATATACATACATATATATACTTGTATTTACATATATAGGTTTATTTGTAATTAGCCACCATTAGCAAATAACGGCATTATGTCATTTAAATCACAAAACATATACGAATACTCGTATACATATATGGATATGCAAATATAACGGTACTCACATACATTCAACAGTTTTGGGCAGCAAAATATTTGAAATTCACAGAGCGGAATGGAAGGCATTCTTCATTATGTATAAGTAAGTGGCAATAATGATCGATATTAACAGAAATATACACAGCCAACAACAAAATTATAATTGAAAACAATATACATACATATACACGTATATATATAATCTATAACAATTTAAATATATATATATATATATACGTATGTACTAATACTCGATTATCAATAAATTAAAAAAAATAAATAAACAAAAAAACACTAGTTAATCACTAAGTTATTAATATAATATAATAAATAGTCAAGTCATATGTGTGTAAGCATATGTAATGTACAAATAAAGCAAAACGAAAGAGATAATAATCGCGAGGTGCATCAGCGGCAGTGGCAGTCATGTATTTAGTTGCATTAAATGAGATCCTAAAAACAACTTTTTTATATAAAAGCTTAAGCAAAATTTATTAAGGTTCGCGTATCGAAAAAAAAATCATAAGTAACAAAATAAATAAATATATATTTTTGCTTCAAATTGGCCGCAGATAACTGATGATGCCATTTAAATATGACAATGTGCTGCAGACGTCTTAAAGAGCCAAATTAGGATATTTCAACCAAGATTATGTTAGATTCTTAGGACAAAGTCATTGGAGTCATAGTTTTCGACGTTCGCTGCCGGATAGTCGCGAATTTTGACACTTACCACCAACAAGCAAAAACTTCGAAGTGTTGGAGCACAAAACGATCAAAGGCTAGCTTGCCAAAGAATGCGTAGAAACTTAGAAACGAGGTCTAATATAAGTCCAACTCATCATCTCTCGAAAAGTTTCTGCTATATGATTTAGAGAAATATTTTGAAGTAATAAATAAAACCGAAACAGAAAAACTTTGACGCATTAACGCCTCATTAGTTATCGGTGCTAGGTTTGAATGCTAATGTCACAAACATTTTTCGAAACTCTGCCAAAACATATCCGATTGAGAGCTTATTAGCGTGACATTGTCTGAGGAAATCAGATCGCTGTTCCAAAAGGCCGACAGATATTACTGTTAGGGGCGTAGATCGCAGACGCAAAATTTTAGTAACAGAAATCTTCATTTATTTTTGTTAGGCACATGACCGACTCATAAAACCAGTAGGTGGACCAATGGCCAACATCCAAAACACTAGGCACTGCTCTACAAACAGTGAAATACGTCAAAGTAGAAGTAGAAAAAAGTTTTACGAAGAGCATCTGTATTAGGTTAAAAATAGCATATCACTTTTAGAACCAAGAGAAGAAAATAACGAAACGTCACGACTACGCGCGGTTCTTAGATGAAACAGCTATAGTTCCGCGCTATTTCCTAGTTGAGTACAATTGAAGTCGTGTGTTTTCGGAGGGATTGCCGACAACAAAATCAAAGGTACTCGAAAACAAAATTCTGATCAGTTATTTGAGTGAATTTTCAGGTGCCCAAAACAGTTTAATAGGAAAACTATATAGTAAAAATCCTTTTTATTTCACACGAGTTGCTCAGACTTCTTTCTAATAAACGAATCTTGAGAAAAATTACTAAAAAATCGGGTGATTCATTTTAGGTTGATATACAGGCGAGTATCTTGAAATACTTTCGCATTATTTCAAATATTTTTTTTAACAGTTATATATAAATACCGTACAATAAAAAATGGCGGTGAGATCAACATTGTGCACTGTTACTGCTGCTGATGTTCTAAGTGAATCCACATTATATGTTTTACGTTTGATGTTATGAGAAATAGTACGCGTATACAAAATCCCATGGGTTTCTTTGTTGGAAAGTCCGTTCGTATGAATATGATATTAAATATGTATGTATTTAGTTTAATTTTTAGTGAAAAGTTGATAAAGAACGATATAGCGGCCATATGTTTAAATAAATATAATAAAATTTAATGTAAAGTACTATACCTATACATATATAAATTTAGAATGTATTAGACCAGAAACAAAATATATGTAAACAATGAATGTTGTCTCGCTGGGCTATGAAGTACGAATTAGAAGAGTTAACGTACACAGCAAAACACTTGAGGCATAGTTGGCGTAAAGAGACTTGGAGAATGCGTAATAAAAATTATTAAAATAAAACAAAAACAAAATGAAAACCAAACCAATAAAATAAACTTTTAAAGAATAAACGCCGTCGAACGGCGTCAAATCATATACATATAGTATATAATATATACATATATATATGGCTTAAATTAACTAAACAATATGTAGCTCTAAATTCAAGCAAATCTTCGTAAATACATACATATTTAACCAAACTAAATTTGATTCGTTGAATTCTTCATGTAAAGTTAAAACAACAAAAAAAAAGAAGATATTAAAAATTATTAAAAAATATATATAACAAATGTGGTGCTGTAATGTAATAATTAGACCCAAATTTTCAAATATCAATTCAAATTCTTTAATTTTACTCCGACAAATACTTAAATAAAAACAAAAACAACAGAAAACTGAATAGAAAAAATACATACATATAAAAATTATAAAAAATAAATAAATAAATAATGAAAATAAAAGAAATATGAAAACACTTATTATGCTGATGTAAAAAATTAAACATTAAAGACAAAAAACAAAAACGCTAAATCCGTGGCAACAAATAAAACTTACAATATTCATATAACAATAATATGAGACATTACAAATTTACTATTGGCTTTCACTCAGCTAAAAAAGTGGTATCAGAATGTATGAAGCTCGCGTCCTACGCCAAACGGACTCTTACAGGTCCTTCCTCACTCATTGGCTAATTAAAATAACACAAATCTAAATTCAAATTGAAATACGCGCACACCGGTTGGCTTACTGCACTAAATTGCATAATCACACATACTCACAATGACACATATGCATACACATACACGTATATTAAACTCACTCACTCACCACCAACACACATTATTTGATCTCTGATATTAAACGCTTTGCAGCGTTATACATTTAATATTGCCAGTGTTCACTGTATTTAAATTTTCTACAAAATACAAATAAAAAATTTATGACATATACAAAGAAAAAAAAACAAACAAACAAACAAAAAACACACACACACCGTAAACACTAGAAAAAGGATACTCTAAAAAAAAGGTATAATATAAATTTACAAATAAGCATGTTTATATAAGTATATTGTTTTTTGATGCTAATACAATAGATATAGATTTTTTTGTGTGTGCTGATTTTTTAAGAAATTTTGTAAGACTTTTTGTCTCTATATACTTACGTACATATACATATGTATTTATTTATAGTCTTAAAGAATATGCTTAACTTGGACATATCAAATGCAAAAAGCACACGTTTTGAGCTACATACACACGTACACGTTTTTTGAGAAAAATATAATTAATTGAAATTAAAAAAAAAAAATAAATCAAAATAAATTGTAGCGTATGAAGGACATCATTTAGCATGTAAATGAAAAATTCACAATTTTTTTTAACTCAACTCAATGAATTCTCTTCAATATAAATTTTTCGGTATTTTTTTTGTGGTGCAAATACATTTTTTATAAATACACAAGTCTACTTTACTTTCCAACTCAGATTTTGTTCCATAAAGAAATTAGCTGCTAATTGCGCCTGAGGGTATGCTTCAAAATATTAACAGTTGCTAATAACATAGAAACGAACGGTGACTATGTTTTTGTAACGCGTTGAGAGGTGTTTTAGTAAAAACCATTGAAACGCTTTACAACGCGATCAATAACAGTTTTTTACTTTAATTCATGTGACAGTCCAACACCGAGCTTCTTCGAGTAGCCAGGCTTTTCTTAATGATGCCAAACTGTGGCATGAGTGATGCCTAATGTCATAGCTATCTTCTTACAGCTTGCAGGGTTTTTGAGCGGCTGAACTAGACTACAACGTGTGGCAACTTTGGTATAAAAATTACTCGAACAGAATCGAGTAAACTACTCCCGGCTGTGGTGTTCACTACTAGCATTCTTACTATCAACTACATACATTTTTCGGCCAGCCATATTTTATGGTAAAAACGTATTTCTTCAGAGATTTCATACATTTTCAAATCAAAATAACTTTTCACATGAATGCCAATTTATTGAACTGTCTGCACGAAAAATATTGCTTCAATTGTTAGCTGTCAAACAAGTAACGCAAATAACTTTGCCCAAAACGAGACTATCAACAACATCTAGTGACAAAAACCGCTAAAACTTTTTATATAACAAATATTATGGAATAAATTTCACAAACCAAAGAAATTAATATTAATTAATGTGTACTTATCGCTTACGCATTCTCGTGAATTTATTATTTTGCGACTTAAATATTTTTCAAAAAAGGAAATTTTGCAGTTCGACTTGCTAATTGTTATGCTCATTATTTACACGCAAATAATTAATATTATTTTATTTATTAAGTGAAATTTTTGCAATCATTGTCATTCATTGGTTAAATACTACAACCACAGTTCCATCATGCATACGAAGAGTTACTCATTAAAACGCAAAATATTCTGGCACAAGCACAATTAATATTGAAACAAAAAAATCTAATCATCTCGACTGTATAAATAACATGAAATTATCTCATATAAATATACCAAGTATGTGTAGTATGTATTTTATCCACCAATTATAATTAAAAAATATTAATAATAATAATTTCCAACATCAAAGGATAAAAATAATACAAAACTATGAAAGTCTTTACAATAATGAAGAACAGAAAAAAGTTCTGCACCCTGAAAAAGTCGTTAAGAAAAATTACATATTTAAATTTTA